CGGCCCATATCTACCTCCACTCCGCCGGAAGCAGGTGCAACGTGGGAACACGGTTGTCTTCCGGCGACATAACCAGTGTCAGACCAGTCACAGACCGGTCACCTTTGTCCACCACGTGTCAGTTTAGCAATCTGCATGTTCGCCCTTCTTCATACAACGTTTTGCTTATAATGGTTGGGATAAAGCCTGGCATATATCTGACCAGGACCAACGTGCCATCTCCAGGAGCTAGCACGCTGGCTCCGGCTAGGGACGAGTGCCTAGAGACTCTCATCCTGACGGGACGGGGCGAGGCGTGTGTCAGATCGCCTGTTGCCTCCTAACCCGCAATCTGACCGATCTGTGACCGGTCACAGACCGGATAAACGAGCGTGCCATACTGCGCTACATGTGGCGTGACGCGCTCGTCCAAACCGCAATAAATGCGGTTAGGTGAGCCCCGCTATGCTCACCTACCCCATATACGCGGCGCAAAACCCACAAGGGGTCGGGGCGCCTCGGCCCTCGGGGCCGAGACGGGAGCGGTCCGACCCCTCGGGGAGACAAAGAGAAGGGCGGCCGTATCACCCTCGGGCCCGACCCTCCCGAGGGGGTTAGGCCACGTGGGTGATCGTGTCTGCCTCAAGTCTCTAAGTCATGATACTCCCGGTCCCATGTTACCGACACCGCCCCTGACTAAATTAGTGTCATCAAATCAATAATTGAATGTATTTTCATAATAAATTTATCTTGGGTTGAAAATGTTACTTTTTTTCTATAAACTTAATCAAACTTAAAGCTGTTTGATTTTGATCAAAGTTAAAACGTCTTATAACTTGAAACGAATGAAGTATTTCATAAGCTTCTCTACGTGCACCATGTTTTTTTTTAGGGAGTGCATCATGTTTACTCTAATTTTGTAGATCATATACTATTTCATCTCAAAATAATAGGATAAGTCTCCGAAATCTCAAATCCCACCGCATTATATATTTATTACTCGCGTTCATCCTCATGAGCGCAAAACCCTAATTATCCCCCCCCCCCCCCACCTTTCAAATTTGTTCGCAGTCTTAATTAACATGTTCTCTCTAACCACTGGAAGAGAACTCGATCGGTCAGGTACCAGAGCCGCAATCTGTTCTTTTAATGACGCTAGAGGTGCACCTTTTCAGCAATATTTCGTAACGTCACTGACCGTGATGTTTAACCCAACTATACATGTGCTAATTATTGGAATTACGAAAATGAGTAATTGGTGTGACGAATAATCAGCGTTGACTGGTCTATTTAATTAATGCTCTGGCTCTACAAATTGAATTAGACTTAGCGCTCATATAGTCGTATGGAGTACTCCCTCTTTTTGTAAAAAGAAATAATCTAATTCCAAATATATAATCTGAACATGTTCAGATTTATCTTTAGAATTAATTTTTTTTATAGAGGGAGTATGTTATTTTTGGATTTGCTTAATTAAAGCACAAGCTACTATTATTTTCGACAAAATCCCAGCTCAAATTATATTTTTCATATCATTAATTTTACGGTTGAGCCTATAGTTTGTTCGTGTTAAATTAACTCATTTTTCAAGTATTTTAACATCGTGTGTGACTGTACAATTAATCAACTATTAATGCACATGTACAGAAGTGGCATACTGGCATATGTAGATCTCGATCCCTCCCCACGCCCTTGTATATCATGCATTAATTAATTATATCATGCAAAAGCATTAAAATTCTAGATCTGACAGAGGTTCAATAATAATTTTTTAATGCTTTGTATGGTTTTATGGAAAACAAATACTAGCCGGTGGATAGGACATTAATATGCATGGGTAAATAAAGATGGAGGAAAAAATCAAAGTATAGTTCCCTAGCTACTCGGATCCTACTATAATGATATGGAATTTTAATTAAGAATATTAATTATTAGCTGAGTAATATATACCACTCGTCCTAATATTTAATGGTTGCCAAGCTAATTGAATTGCTGGAGCTGAATTGATTAGCTGGTAATATTTTCTATAGATAGGACGTTGTTAAATTCTGCCATTTGGGCTAAGACATAGTACATTCAAGCACAATTAATGGTTTAGCCAGAAAACACAACAGAATTGTAAACATCTGTAAAATTATATATACGTGATGGGTTTACCGGCCTGTCGGAAACCATTGTTAATTTGTTAGTAAATAAATCCCTTTATCTCCTCAAAAGTATCATTTCAGTACTAGTAAATTTATTCATGAAATTACTTACTAATTCCTAATGTGCACGATATACGAATTCTGCTATAGTTAATTAATTAGGTCGATCGATCCAACATGAAATCTCCTTTTTGCTTCATTAATAGAAATAGTATATTTATTTATGGTATCATTGTTTTCTTATAATTTTCAGATATTATTTCGCGTTTATTTATATTTAGGCTAGAAGGGCTAAATTTTCAGATATTTTCTCTACCAAAATAAAAAAAAACTGTATTTCAATAAGTCTAGTACTTCCCTGCAAATAATGGACATCATTTTAGAGTGTCTTATAATCCAGGATTTTGATTGAGTAACCCCAAGCGAATAATGCCAATACTTTATAGTGTTGACAATCTTGTTACCAAAATAATCATGTTAGCTCCAACCCAGTAGTGGTCTTGCCGTGGTGACTGGTAATTGCCTCGCTAGAAGATGGGCTAGCTAGCAACATAATGCCCATACCTGTACGGCGTCTACAAATACATTTACGTACTCTATTCGTCCAAATAATTTTATCTTTTATATAGAAATAGACTATTCCCAGATATAATATTAATTTATAAGTTACGGAGAGAGTGCATTTGTTGGCATATGGTCTACACTCTCTCTGCATTGCCATACAAGCTATGCCAGGCAAGCACTGAACAATTAACTCATGGTGTTGTTCGGCAGACGGACGCGCGCTGCGGCCGCAACGGTACTGTTCAAGCTGACTGTGGTGCAGCCATGCACAAACTTAGGCTGTGTTCGGGAGGCGAGGTTGGGAACCTTGCCTCCTGACACGGAAAACGAAGCACGTGATTATAGTGAGACTAATTAAGTATTAGCCTAAAAAACTTGAAAAATGGATCAATATGATTTTTTTAAAGCAACTTTCATATAGAAAACTTTTTAAAAAAATGCATCGTTTAGCAGTTTGAAAAGCGTGCATGCGGAAAACGAGAGAAGTGAGCTGGGAAAGAGGGGTAAAGAACACAGCCTTAATAGCCCTTATGGGTGTCTTTAGGCCATGTTCACCCTCAACTTTCAACTTTCCATCACATCACATCACATCTAAAACTTTCCTACACACATAAACTTTTAACTTTTTTTTCAAACTACCAACTTTCCCTAAACTTTTAACTTTTTTTCAGGAATTAAACACATCCAATATACTAAAACTCTATATTTAAATAATACTACTATATGATATTATTGAGTTTATTGGATCTTGATATACTTTAGTGATTATCTTTCTATAAGAATGTGATGATAGTATCTAACACAATTATGTTATTGTAAAAATACTTATAAAGAAAATATAGATTTTATGTTTTCAAACTAAATATTTTGAGAGTTAGGATGGTCAGAGTTTTAAAATTTTACTTATCTAAAATTAACAGTGGCATACATTTATCAATAGGCGGAGTACCGATAATATAATTACTTTGAGAGAACAGAATGTACATTAATTAAGTAGCATTAGTAATAACCATTTTAATTTGCCGGCACCAACCTCTTAATTACTGTAAAGTGAGAGTAGTTTAATTGGTTAGGTTTCTTGTGGTGGAATCAGCCCATTCGAGTTAGGACCTGGACTTAGACATCGATGCTCGTATTTATGGCTAAACCTGTTAGCCGTCGACGATAAGACACCATATGGTGATTTCATCAATCTGAAGATATACCGATCCAATCTCTTAAAGGTGTTCATAGATATAAGATATGCAATTGTTCATTAATAGAGATGAATGAGCATCTGCTTTATATTCTCTCCGTCCCATTATAAGTGAAGCTATAAGTTTTCGTGCCCAACTTTGATCGTCTGTCTTGTTTGAAATTTTTTTATAATTAGTATTTTTGTTGTTATTAGATGATAAAATATGAATAGTATTTTATACGTGACTTATGTTTTTAATTTTTTTTTAAAAAAAATAAATAAGACGGACGATTAATGTTGGACACGGAAAATCATGGATGCACTTAAAATGAGAGGGATATAGTACTATATTTTTTTAAAAAAAAACTCTTAATTACCAACGCACGACTTTCTCGCACCAGGCCAATTGACCCTTCCTTACCCACATATACATGCAGATGCGGTCATATCTCATAGACTCATACTACGTACCCTCTCAGTAACGGAAAGGTGTTTGTCTTCTGGCTAACTGCTACAGTGTTACTTATATACGTATCTCTCAACTTGTGAAAGTCTGAAGCTGTCGCTGTGCCGTCGCTGCTAGTTAAAAAAGGCTTGCCTTGGACTTTTTCCCCCTCCTCCCATGATCCCATCCACACCACACGCAGCAACGCATCCACACGCTGGATGCTGCTGCTGCTGCTACTCCTGCTGCCGTGATCGATGATGACGCGGACGCCACGCGCGCGAGGCGCGATCGATCGAATTCGCCGTCGACTTTGACCGCCGACGTGGCGGCGACGCGCGCGTTCATCTAGCCACATAGCTAAGCTAGCTTACTTCATTTCATTTCAAGATATAAGACGTTTTGACTTTAAATTTAATTAAATTTGTAAAAAAAAAATAGCAATATTTTTAACTAAAGATAAATTTATTGTGAAAATATATTTAATTATTGATTTGATAAAACTAATTTAGTATTATAAATATTATTATATTTGTCTATAAATTTTATCAAACTTAAAATAATTTGACTTTAACTAAAATCAAAATATCTTATAATCTGAAACAGGGGAGAACTACCTAGCAACCTTGCCTTACTTCCAATGGCGCGCGACACGCGCACGTCGACAAAAACCTACCCCTTCTGGTGGGTGTACCCGATCATTCCAATGCATATTAATACCTCTCTTGCTCAGCGCCGCGAGACCAGTAAACCCTAGCAAGGTTATTTCTTCATTTTTTGTACTTTGGATTATTTCTGCTTTGCTTGCCATGGCCGATGATGATGGCTACCGATGCCAGCAGCGGCGGCGGCGGCGGCTGGTGCAGAGGATGGTGGCGTGCTTCGGGATGTTGTCGCGGCGGCGGCGGACGGTGAGGCTGGTGCTGTGGGGAGGCGAGGTGCGGGCGGCGAGGCACGGGAAGATGGCCGGGCAGGTGATGCTCGACTTCACGGACAGCGTCGTGTGCCGCGCCGACGGGTTCTGCATCGGCCGCCCGGCGCCGGTGCTGGCGATCGAGGACCGCCTCGTCGCCGGGAGGACCTACCTCGTGCTCCCCGTCGACCGCCTCCCGCAGGGCTACGACGCCGTCACGGCCGCCTCGCTGGCCGCGCTCTCCTACGACAGGGGCGGCGCCGGCGCCGGCGCCGCCGGGGCGACGTCCATCGCCGGCGGCGCCAAGAGCCCCTTCGAGTACGTCAAGGGCGACGACGGCCGGACGGTCATCAAGGTCACGCCGGAGTTCATCGTGAGATCCATCACCTCCTCGAGACCAATAGGCGCCTGCGCCGCCGCCGGCGACGAGGTGGTGGAGGGCGGCGGCGGCGGCGGCGGGGCGCAGCTGTGCAGCACGCCGGAGCTGAGGAAGCACTACGAGCAGCTGGTGGGCGCGGCGAGGTGCCGCGCGTGGTCGCCGAGGCTGGAGACGATCAAGGAGCGCAAGGGCGCCAGGAGGATCGTCGTGGCGGCGGTGAGCCCCGGGCGGCTGTCGCCGGTGGCGGCGAGGCTGCTCGGCCTGGACCGAGGAGCAAGCTAGCTAAGCTGATCGATCGATCAGAAAGCCTTGTAATTAATTAAGCTCAAAATTTCCGTTCTTGATTGCCGCTTGATTTGTTCATTTGATCAGATTGCTAGCTGCTCCTCTTGTTTAATTTGGCAGCAACTAATTCATTTTGATCTGAACAAATTTAGCGATGAATTTGAATTCGGTTATTATTGGAGAGTACAGGTATAGTTTTAGGAGTTTGCTTGGGATCGATGTATGATCCGTGTAATTGAATTGAAAAAAAATATAAATGTGAATTAATATGCACCGTCAATTAATTGTCACATTATCAGGAATTCATCTATGTGCAATTAAGCTAGGTACATCGATCACCGACGCGCTTGGCGTTGTTACGTCATACCAGGTACTCCGTAGTCCGTACGTGCGTAATTAGTTAGCAGATTTGCATTATTGTACTGACCCGATCTATCTACATTACGATTTTGTTCGAAACAGCAAAATTTAATGAGAACTGCGTGCTGTCCATTTCAAGTTTTCAACTCGAATTTTTTTTTAAAAAAAAAAGAGAGAGAGAGAAAAACTGTTACGCTGCTTGGATTATTGGACCGGTCAATGTAATCTCCATTGGGGAGTTAGGAGATGTGGGTTGGTGGTTTTTATGTTGTTCCCTCAGTTTTAATTGCTAATTTATGCATATCACCACGTGATCGGTTCGATTAATTCGGCGTGGACATAAGTTTGGTTAAGTTGTTTTTTCGCACGTGATTGAATTAATTCAGTTGCCCAAAATAGTACGGCTAGCTAGATGGACTGGTAGAGTCGTAGAGACCGAGGGGAGCTGTCAATTGGTGTTTGATTAATTAGCCGGTGGTTGCTAAATAGCTAATTGTTTACTCAATCAGCATGTAGCTAAGTCATGCAGGACGTTCTGATCTAGTTATATTTGTTGGTTAATTTATAAGTTCTCCTTCATTTAGAAATGAAGCTACTAGTGCACATGCGGTTCATGCACATGTGTGTGAATCATGAATCCGCTTCAATGTAACACGTGCCACAAAGCCCCCGTGCAGCTATGAAGAGAGCATATATTATCATATACTCCTTCCATCCCTAAATATTTAGCGCCGTTAACTTTTTTAAACATGTTTGACCGTTCGTATTATTCAAAAAATTTAAGTATTTATTAATTTTTTTTCCTATCATTTGATTCATTGTTAAATATACTTTTATGTATATATATATATATATTTACATATTTCATAAAAGTTTTTTTTAATAAAATAAACGGTTAAACATGTTTAAAAAAGTCAATGGCGTCAAACATTTAGGGACGGAGGGAGTATATACGTGCTAAAACCCATGTCCCTGTGTGTGTGAATCAGCGAAGCGTATAGAGTATTAATTTTCATATACTTCTAAAAACAAATAACAACATCGCACTATTGTTTCCTCGAACTTTTCTTCTTTTGATACCAAGTCAACGTAAGGTAGTAATTAACGCGGGATTATTCGTGTGTGTGAACGGTGTCACAGACGATGAACCAGGACACGCAGATCAAAGGACAGGATAAACCGCCGATCGCGGGCCGCAGCCTTGGGTTTGTGAAAGGAAAAAGTATAATTTGACTCCCTTAACTATGGCACGAGTATGATTCATAACCTCCAACCACAAAACCGGGTATATCGACTCCTCCAACTATCAAAACCGGTGCAAAATATATCTGAGATGGTTTTGGAAGCGGTTTTGGCTTACGTGGCGCTTACGTGGCAGTGTTGACCCGGTCTCCGTCCTACGTGTCGTTGACATGTCACATATGTGGCATTTTAGAATAAAAAAAACAAAAATACGTGGGACCAACATGTGATTCACACTTAAAAAAAATAGTGGGACCCACCGACATGTGGGCCCCACATGTCATCATCTTCATCCTTTCTTCTTCCTCTCTCCTCTTCTCTCTCCTTTTCCCCTTCCTCTTCCTTTTTCTACGGCCTCCTAACTCCCTTCGTTCTCCTTTCTCTCGGCCCAAGCGCGCCGCCGCACACCTGCTGCGCCGCACCGGTTTATGCCTGACCGCCGAGCTTCGGAGCTGCCCGCCTCACCTCCTATCCACGACGCCGCCGAAAACCACTTCGGTCCTGACGCAGCCGCCTGTCCTAGAGCACCGCCATGCACAGGGTTCGACTTCCCACTGTCGTCGCATCCGGGACCCCGCCGGTAACGACCCCTCCCAAATCTCAGCTTGAGGAGGAAGATGCTAACCGTCCAACCACCTTAAGACCAAACGATTAAACAAAAACAGATTAATTTAGGAGAACTTTTATGGTACAATGTACTACCAGTATATACTTGTAGTATAAACAATCTAACGGTATAGATTGCCTTGTGATGATGTGCAAGCAAACGGTAAAAAAAAATCGCAGGGATAAGAAAATTCCCAGGAGCCGAATCAAAAGGGGAGGGAAGAACAAGAACTGAACAGATGGAAGAACATGTATACTTGGCAGGGTAAACCAATGAAACTAATCTCAAAGAAAAAAAGCAACAGATGCGCTCAGAAAGCCAATAAAAGAGAGAGAAACACATTTTTAATAAAAGGAAATGCTTGCTTAATTGTTCTGAACCAAAAAAATCAAAGGAACAAAGAAGAAGAGGAAGGACACACCAAGATCAGCATGAAAAGAAGGGGAGGGGGCCGCCGTGTCCGCCCTAGCCGCCGTTGTCCGCCGCCTCCTCCTGGAGCCGGCGCCGCCGAGCTTCTCACTCGCCACCGCCTCAACCATGGCCATGGCCGTCAAGGCCAACACAGCCGGCGTCGTCTCTTTCTCGCTCGTCCTCAAGCCGTTGCGGGGCGACTTCGCCGTGCGCAAGTGGTTTGACTCTGCCGGCGGCGGAGACGACTCGGCGGCAACGATGTGTGACCGACATCGGAGCACCATCCCGACACTGGAGGCAGTGACAAGCACTGCCATGATGCAGGAGGAGGAAGGAGGAAGAGGAAGTTGAACGGGGAAGAGGAAGGAGAGAGAAGAGGGGAGAGGAAGGAGGAGGAAGGGGATGACATGTGGGGCCCACATGTCGGTGGGTCCCACTATTTTTTAATGTGAATGACATGTTAGTCCTACATATTTTTGTTTTTTGGTTTTATTCTAAAATGCCACGTAAGCGACAAGTCAACGCCACGTGGGACGAAGACCGGGTCAACACTGCCACGTAGGCGCCACGTCAGCCAAAACCACTTCCAAAACCACTCAGGGATATATTTTGCACCGGTTTCGATAGTTGGAGGAGTCGATATACCCGGTTTTGTGGTTGGAGGTTATGAATCATACTCGGGCCATAGTTAAGGGAGTCAAAGTATACTTTTTCCTTTGTGAAATGGATATTGGGCCGACCGAGATGTGAAAACCACACGGCCCGCTTTGGTACGGACGGAGGTGATGCTCCACACGTTGCCGCCATTGATCACTGAATAAGTCCACTTGACGTCCTTCACCTTTTGAGTTTAAATCACAACCTCAAACGTAATACTAGAAATCTTAACCCCCAACTTACAAAACCGATTTAAATTAGGTCCTCCGACAATATAGAAGGTTGGTTTCTCTAACGTGACAAGTTGACTATGGTCAACCCGGGTATCAGCATGGGACCCACGTGGACTCCACATATAAGTCGGAAAAAAAAGTGGCCTGGGCACTGGAATCCCGATGAACGTAGTGGGTATAGTGACTTGGGCGTTATCGAGAGCAGGTTGAGAAACCCACTCAACGAGGGGATTATCCCTGCCGATGTCACCGACGGTGAGGGGTGAGGATGGTGTGGAGGGGCCTGCTATCCCGCAACTACTGCTCCAGTAGTCGTTGTGACGTTGGCTGCGGTGACACCAGGTGGGGTGCCTGCTATCCAACTGTGGTGAAAGGCAGGGTTTTGCGAACAGGTGTGTGTGCACGCATGCGCGCGTGCGTGTGTGTTGGGGGGAGGAGGGGAAGGGACAAAGGTGGAGATGAAAGGCGGGCGAATCTTCTAGAGGCGCATGGAGAGAGGCTTGGGTTGCTGGTGCTACGGTGGAAGCAGGCAGTGAGGGGAATGCTGGTGCAACAACGGTGAAGGGGTGCCGACAGTGAGCTGCTGGACTATATCGTGGAACTGGTTCTTGCTAATGTTTTAGACATGCGACTGTGGAGACTGTGGAGTGGCCTTGCAGATGTTGTGGCTGATCATGTTAACGCCAAGATGCATGTTGGTGTTATTGTTGGTGCGATCCATGGCGGACGGGGATAAAATTAGCGGTCAGGAGCAGCATGCCTAGGCGATTGGGCATGGTGGCGAAGCTAATTGTAGTCCTGGATGAAGGGGAGGGCATGGACATGGCGGATTGGTGGTTGATGTTATGCACGGAGATGAGAGAAGAGGAAGCTAAGATGCACATGAAAGGGAAGGAGAATCTGTCCTCGGCATCCGCATCCCTGTGCCCTGCCTAGACCTCACCGACTACATCATCCTTGATCTCTACCTCCTATGCCTCGCTGTCGAAACTTGGGATGGAGAGATAGGTGCACTGTCGCTACCGTGTGCTAGGGGAAGAGGTGGGAGAGAAGGGTTTTTCTTGTATTTTTCTGTGCGACTTACGTGTGGACCCACATGGGTCCCACGTTAACTCAATTGGATTGACCGTAGTCAACTTGCCACATAACAAAACCAACCTTCTATACTACCGGAGGACCTAATTTAACCCGGTTGTGCTACTTGGGGTCAAAATTTCTAGTGTTATGGTTGAGGGATGTGATTCAAACTCGACATAAAGATCATCAAGTGAACTTATTCCTTGATCATTCCATAGGAATCCGACCTTTTCCTAGACGAAGAAAATGGCTCGCCTAATATCTAAAACTCCCAGAACTAAAATGCAGAGGGAGTACCTAAACAAACTGATGTCCATCGATGGTTTTCAATTTAAAAGCTAATAACGCACTGGTAAGAGCAGGTACAATAAACTTCCCCTTGCCGGTTGAAAGGGTCAATTAGGCCTAGAGGGGGAGTGAATAGGCTAATTTAAAACTTTATGCGGAAGCTAAAACTGAAATAAGGTCGGAAAGTCTGATCCACAGTCAGACTATCTGAAAATATCAGATAGTCTGATATTGGATCAGACTGAGCACAACAAGTAGATCTATCACACAAACAAGAGTAAAGCACAAACAGCGACTAGATCTATAGCGGCACAATTAAGCAAAGCTAAAAGGAGGATGAAGGGAGATCACCAATGATGAAGTTCACGAAGTTGTTCCCGGAGTTCAAATCCTTGAGGGGATTCTACTCTCCGTT